CTAAAGGATTCTAAATGAGGCCTGGCCCTTAACTTGCATTGTCTGACCTAAATTCTCACCTCTTCTTTACTCTGATAAAACCTTTTATTCTCTCAGGGCAGCACTTGAAAGAAATTCAGGGATTTTCATATACATATTAATCAATTAAAACCTTCTAACTGATTAAAGATTTAAAAGCATCTTAGGTTTATTTAATACGTTCTTATCAGTTGTGTGACCCTTTGATCTTTTACTTTTACATTGTGTTCTGTGTGCTTCTTTCTCGCTTCACCTGAAGAAAGGGGCTACACTCCGAAAGCTGGTGTTCTGAAATAAACCTGTTGGAATATAACCCGGTGTCGTGTGATTTCTGACCTCTTCATAGGATAAATCTCTCATTCCATGGTCCAATCTTAAGAACTTTCGTTTACTGCCTCCAATGGAATATGGAGGCCAGAATTGCATACAATATTCTAGGTGTGGTCTTCTTAACTCCTGTAAAATTGTAGCAAGACTTTATTCTCCAGTCCCCTTGCAATAAAGCCAACATGCCATTTGCTAATTGCTTGCTGTACTTGCAAGCTATATTGTATGAGTACACCAAATTTCCTGAACATTAATATTTCCAAGTTTCACATCTTTCAAAAGATATTCTGCTTTGAAGTCTGAATAACTTCACCCTTCCACCACTTTAGACTCTCTTTGTCACCTTGCCGATCACTCACTTAATCAGTCTATAACTGTTTTCAGCCTCTTTCTGTCCTTCTCACCTAGCTATGTGTCACCAGCAAACTTTAATACATTATCAATTACTTAGATGAAGAGACAGGAATAAAGATTGTAAACAGCTGAGGCCTTAAAAACTAATCCCTGTGGCATTCTACCAGTCACAGTCTGAAAATTACCTGCTAATCCCTACTTTTTGTCTCCTGTCTATTAACTAATTCTATATCAGTGCTAATATACCCCCTCATCCCCATAAGACCTTGCCTTGTGTATTAACCTTTTGTGTAGCATCTTATCAAGTGCCTTTTAGAAAAAACAAATGTATTACAACTACTGGTTCACCTTTATCTACTTCACTAGTTACATTCTCAAAAACTCGAATAATTTTCCCAAAGAGGTCTTTTCTTTTATAAAACCATGTTGACCCAATGCTATTCATATAGGTTTATCTAAGTGCATTGTTAAGTCTTCCTTAATGACAATAATATAGTAAGACAATAAATTATGCAAAAAATACTTCTAAAAACTTGTTCTCCATATAATGGTATGAGTTCTTTGCCCATTCCTAGTTGATGTGATTAATTGTTTTTGAGGCCATTTTGGCAGGTACTAGGAATCAATCAGATTGACAAGGGGCTAGACACACATACAGGCCCAGACCAGGTAAGACAGCAGTTTTCCTTCTATTTGGGACATCGGTGCACCAGTTGGATTTTGACAGCTTCATAATAATTTTTACAACTTGTTATTTCACACTATAAGAGCTTTTATGTTGTTTCTTACAAAGCTTAGGCTACTGAATCTTTAAGGCCAATATCCTTGCCAGTCATTTTCCTACATTGCTGTTTCAGCAACATCTTTTCAAACTTAAGGGATTAAAGTGTTGCAGCTTGGTCTTTGACTGACCTACCATGGATAGTGTAGGTAAAGCCCCCAGCCACTGCAGCCACATTCTGTCCAAATCCGTCCTGGATCACCTGCTTCTCTGCCTGAAGCTGAGCCTATATACAACAGCCACAGTGAGAAATTAGGAGGAAACCAGAAGGGAAGAATGTCCATCCAAATAATGTACAGAAACACATGCACTTAAAAATCAATATCCAGCATAATGTTTTAAACACAGTTAACTTTCCTTTTACACTGATCAGTCGCATTCCTGCACATTTCATTGAAAAAGCCATGTAACATTCCCAGAATATTGCTTCTTGCCGTGCTCCTTCAGCACGATTCCCACAACAGCACAGCACACCCTCAGCACTGTCCCTCTAACAAATTTCTTCCCAGGAGAGAGTCTTGTGATCCTAATCAGTTTCCTGTAATATTCCTGACTAGTTAATGTCTTGTAACATAAAGATTAACTTACTGCAGAGAATCTGAGAACACCTCCTCCACTGTCAAGCACAACATCAGTGAGGTTTGTGGTAATGAGGTATTCAGAGTCTTGGCTCTCCCAAGCAATGGTGCCTTCAAAGCCCTGTCAAGACAGATATTTTAAATTTCCTGATTTGAGATTTTTACACTTTTGTTAATTTACTCATGGGATGTGTGGATCATTGTTGATTGCCCATCTCTAACTGCCCTTGTAACACTGGTGGTCCATTTGCTATGTCCACAATGTCATTAGAAAGGGAGTTCCAGGATGATGATCCAACAACAGTGCAGAAACAGCTCTGACCTTTTCTTCACAGATGCTGTCAGACCTGCTGAGCTTTCCCAGCAGCTTCTGTTTTTGTTCCAGAACGATTTATTAATTTAAATATAATTAAATGTAATGATGAGATTTGAACCCATGCGTCTAGAGTATGAACTTCAATAATGAGTCCAGTGACATTATTTTCTTTCGGTTTTTATTTCATATATAACTCACTGCCACATCTCTTCCAGGCATGCCCACATTGAAGAAGTTCTGCTCCTCTCTCCGATGGGATTTCCATTCCAATCTTTCGTCTTGCCCACCAACATTAACTTCACTGTCACTCCTGGTGTTTGACCGAGTATTTGCTAAAATTCATTTCCACAGCCACATCACATTCCTCAGCGACTGCCTCCGGCTCAGATTCACCCCACGTGGATTCCAACTGAAGTTTCATCCCTCATGTTTTGAATCCTCCCAGGATCACAGATATCTCCATGATGTTCGATGTTCAACATTCCACAGACAGCTGCTCTCACCGTATCCTGAGATCCACACTCAGTGCCATGCGGTGTCACATGCACACTCTCGATCCTTCTGTCAAACAGCATCACAACACACTGGCTCAGGGCTGCACCACTCCGCAGTTCCACTCCATCCTCCAGCTCATTTGTCGTGCTAACAAGAAACTTTTTCTTTTCCTTTCAGGCATCAAGGCCCACAAGATGCAACAATTCAAAGATACCCATGGCCCTCTGGAACCTTCCTCTCCTTCCTTTCCCTCTGACTCCATCCCCTCTCCCAACCCCACCTCCTTTAAAGGTATTTACCATTCCACCTAACTTTCCGCACTCCGATGCTGAACATTCTGTACTCAGCAAAGGCTTCAGCTTTATTCCTTGGCGTGCTCGCCTTAACGAATTTCAGGCACGACATGACATCAAACTCTTCTTCCGCTATCTTCGCCTCCGTGCCCATTTCTTTGGACAAGAGACCTCTCCCCATCCCACAGATCCCTTTGCCCAGTTCCAACACTCTCCCACCACCTGGACCCCTCCCTCTGGCCTTTTACCTGCACTCGATCTGTTCATTGAGAACTGTCAATATGGTCGCCTCAATTTCTCGGCCCCCCCCCCCCCC